GCTCGTCAGAAGTAGTGGCTAGTGAAAGTTATAATCCCATGGAACTCGGAAGAGCCTTTTGTCATGTCAAGATCATCCCGTCTCTAACAGAACTTGAGCAGAACCAGCAGAAAACTCTCCAACTCCCCAACTCTGTAACTCTGTGAGTCTGTGAGTCTGTGTAGACCAGGAAGTACTGACATTTTAAAGACTCTTTCCCGGTTCACTTTTTGGGATTTTTCATTGGTCAGAAACGACCAGACGGGGTGGGTTTTGTGACGTAAGAGGTTAGAGACAGCGAGAATTGTTATGGGACAGCTCAGAAATGTTCTCACAGACCGAGAGGGTTTTGTTGTGGCGTGTTTAAGAAACAGGTGAAAAACATCTCTATTTACGTCTGAGAGGATTCTAAAACATGACAGTTTTAACATAACAACTTGTTTTTCGTTCGACTGTAACCTTGTAAACGCACACACTTGCTCATTCAAAAGCAGAAATCAGAAAAATGCATAATTACTCTGTAACAGCTTTTAACATGAGTTCTAACTGCATGAGAATAAAAATCATTACTCAGTTAATAAAATTTGATTAGTTCACTGCAACATCTAAAATGGTTTGAACTAAGACACTTTGATTATCAACATTTGTAAGATAGTAATGATAATAAAACGAGAGTGTTCTTTTCACTTGAATCTTCAAGAAAGAAAGTCTCAGGATGGGTGAACCTGTATCTATGTATTCAAATACATGAAATGACAGTTCCTGTCCCACAAGGTTCTAAAGGTCAAGAGTTTTGACCTTAGACTGGGTTTCGACGTAGGCCTAGTCCACTACATGATGATCAGTTGTCAGCTCAGCTTCTTCCCTCTTCACCCGAGTGTCCAAAACAAATGGCCGCACATCAGATGACATGACTATAGTGTCAATCAACAATCTAAGACCTAGGGCATCCTGGTGCCAAGTGCACTTATGGGACACCCTTATGTTCGAACATGGTGTTCGTGATGGACAAATTATGACTAGCACAGAAGTCCAACAACAGAACACTGCTCGGTTTCAGATCAGAGAGGCCGTTCCTCCCAATCACGCCCCTCCAGGTCACACTGTCATTACCCACGTGGGCATTGAAGTCCCCCTGCAGAATCGAGGAGTCCCCAGCTGGTGCACCTTCCAGCACCCCTGCCAAGAACTCCAAGAAGGCTGGATACTCTGAACTGCAGTTTGGTGCATAGGCACAAACAAGAGTCAGAGCCCGTCCCCCCACCTGAAGGCGAAGGGAAGCCACCCTCTCATCTACCGGGGAAAACTCCAACACACAAGCACTAAGTCAGGGGGCTACAAGTAGACCCACACCTGCTCAATGCCTCTCACCATGGGCAACTCCAGAGTGAAATAAGGTCCAGCCCCTCTCAAGGAGATTGGTTCCAGAGTCCATGCTGTACGTCGAGGTGAGCCCAACTATATCTATTTGGTACCTCTCAACCTCACGCACAAGCTCAGGCTTCTTCCCTGACAGAGAGGTTACATTCCATGTCCCAAGAGCCAGCTTTGGTAAGCCAGGGTCAGAGTGCCAAGGTCCCCGCCTTCAGCCACTGCACATGGCATCATGCACCTGACTTTTATGGCCCTTCCTGCGGGTGGTGGGTCCACAGGAATGCAAACCCATGCTTCTCCTTCAGGCTGAGTCCGACCGGGCCCCATGGGTAGAGACCTGGTCACCAGGCGCTCGCCAACAAGCCCCTCCCCCAGGCCTGGCTCCAGGGTCAGGCCCCGGTAACCCACGTCCGGGCAAGGGACACTGAGCTCCTTGTTTTGTTTTGTCCGTAAAAATCTTCTGAATCACTCTTTGTCTGGCCTGTCACCTAGGACCAATTTGCCTTGGGAGACCCTACCAGGGACAATTATAATTGCCCCCAACAGCATAGCTCCTAGGATCATTCAGGCACACAAACTCCTCCACCACGATAAGGTGCCGATTCAAGGAGGAGTGTAATGTAAACAACCGTAATGAAAGTCACTGTGAACTTGCGGGGTAGATAATGTGGCCAACATTTCAATGTAATCTGCTTCAAAACCTTCGAGGATGAATTTTTTTTTACAACGGTACAGTTTGTGCACCAACTTTTACTCATGTAAATGCACACTTCGCCTCCCAGTGTTTGACCCATTAGCTCGCTGCAGCGGTCCGCTTGAAAAAATAGTCTGTCATCCAGATGAAAGACTGTATCTGATGTTTCACTTGTAATCCATGTTTCTGTGAGGCAAAGCACTGCACACCGCACAAATGGTGTCCCTATTGAGTTTGTTGATTCCTATAAATATTTGGGTATCTTGGTCGACTCACATCTCTCTTTTAAACTTCACATGGAAAACCTAGTAAAGCAACTGAAAGTTAAACTGGGTTTGTTTTTCAGAAACAGATCCTGTCTAACCCTGAATGTTAGGAAACACCTTGTATCTGTGACTTTCCTTCCCTCCATTGATCACGGTGACATTATTTACATGAACGCTCCTACAAGAACCCTGCAGATGTTGGATGCTGCAGATGTTGGGTGCTGCAGATGTTGGATGCTGTCTATCATGGTGCACTAAGATTCATAACTGGCTGTAACTACCATACCCACCACTGCACCCAGTATTCACTGGTTAACTGGTCACCATTAACTTCACACAGACTCTCTCACTGGTACATCTTCATCTTTAAATCACTTCTTGGTCTGCTGCCTTCATACATCTCCTCCTACATGTCTCTGTGTGAGTGCAGCTACAGCGTGCGCTCTCAGGACATCATTACCTGCAGTGTTCCCTCAGTGAGGACTGAACTAGACAAAAGGACCTTCTCCTACTCCGCTCCTGTTTCCTGGAATATCTTACAAAAAGATTTGAAGCTCTCGACCTTTGACCTCTCTAAGTGGCTTCAAACATCTGATAAGTTCCTGCAGATGTTCCTGTTTTTAGTTTTCTACACCATCTTATAATCTAGATGGGTTTTTTTTTCACTACTTTTTTCCTTTTGATTGTCCTTTTAGTTGCCATTTTATTTATTTATTTTTTTAAATAAAAACTGTATGTCTCTTTTATGCTTGTCTGTTTTTGTCGCTGTTGTCCATTGTTTTCATCACTCTTTGTTAAAATAAGGTCTCTAAATGAGTCCTCGAGGCTCAGTGGGATTAACCTGTCTAAATAAAGGTTGAATGAATTTGTGTGTGTGTGTGTGTGTGTGAACAGAGCAAGAACATATACACAGG